ATACATATCCTTTGGTTGATCTCTCCCCCTTACCCCCACCCTCTCCTACCTTCCCTCTGAGGTTTGACGGTCTGATCGATGCTTTTCTGTTTCTGAATCTGTTTCTGTTTATCATTTTGTTATTCATTATATTCCACAAATAAATGAGATCATGTGATATTTATCTTTCTCTGACTGGCTTATTTCACTTAGCATAATGCTCTTCAGTTCTATCCATGCTGTTGCAAATGGTAAAAATTCCTTATTTTTTATAGCAGTGTAGTTTTAAAAAGTGTCTGAAGTAAATTATAATAGTAATGAACAGATTTATCAGACTTTGTGAGCAAGCTTAAACTTTGTTTTAATCAACAGGCTTTGGAAAAACTACTGTAAGTGCTCAATGGAATTCCTGAGCAAGTTTTCTAGAATTTTCTTAAATTTTAGAGGTTTTCTTTTTAATCTCTTTTGGGACGTTTCCATCACATACATCTCATCCAATGACTAAGCTTGGCATTCACTGACTAGCATATAATTATTAACTGATATAAATTAGCTGATACAAATTGGAAAACCCCAAATAGTAGGTTTCAATAACTAGAGTTGACTCTTCAACAACATGGGGGTTAGGGACACTGACCTCTCTCACAGTCAAAAATTTATGTATAATTGCTGAGTCCCTAAAAACTTGACTATTAATAGCTTACTGATACTATAAAGAGTCAATTAGCTCTGGATTCTTACAATGAAATAAGCTATAGCAAAGAAAACTTTATTAAGAAAATCATAAAAAAGGAGAAAATACATTTTCATGTACATATTTATTGAAAAAGATCTGTGTATAAGTGGACCTGCACACTTTAAACTCGTGTTGTTCAAGGGTCAACTGTATATCAAACTCTTCAGCATGATCCTTAGTTACCTTAGACAATTCTTTTAATATGGTGTGCAATTCAGCTTTAGTCCAGTAAGATATAAAACTAGAGCTATATCAAGATCCTCAGAGAGCTTCCTTTTAAAGGGACAAGTACTGATAGCTTCAGAGGAGGAGAGGGTGAGAGAAAATTGAAAAGGATGGCACTGAATGTGGAGCTGGAGCCAGAGGCAATGATGCTGACAGTGGAAGGCCCGATATGCTCAGAGTTAGAACTTGAGAGAAAGGAATTGTTGAAGAAGACCTTAAGGGCTTTGGAAATGGAAACTGAGGTAGAGTCACGGGAAAAGAGCAAGGTATATCCAGAGCTGGGGCCTAAGAAAAAGGAGTTTATGGAGAAGGGCAAGACAGGAGAGGTGAATATCACAAGGCTTCCAAAACCCTTTTCTTTTTAATTAAAACTTCAGTACTGTCAGTTAATTCTAAACTTTATTTCAGAAAGAGGCAACTTCAAATTTTTGGTAATATTTTGAAGCCTCAAAATAGTAATTCCTTTGCCAATTTTAGCAATATAGTTTTTCAATTGGGTTTAAGAAAAAGAAATTAGGGAATCTCAAAATTTCCCAATAATGGCCATTGATATTGTGAATTATTTTTGGTCAGATAAATCCATTTAGCTAAATATGCATATGAGGAGTGACCATGGCTTTTAAACATATTTTTGGCCAGAGTCTTTGTGGGGCGGGGGTGGTCTAACAACATTTAGATAACTGAGATGCCATTTTTAGAGGTTTTTGTCCAGAGCAAGGGCCAAAAACAGTCTAAAGCAGCTCAAGTAACCTGCAACCTAGGCATGTGGCCAAACCTGAAATTAAACTGTGACCTTCTGGTTCATGGTCAGATGCTCAACCACTGAGCCACACAGGGTGGGCCCAAGTATATCATTATTACTTTTCAGTCTTGTTTATATATCATTTACAGAAAAAGATGTGTTAACATCTTCAAAATTAATAGCTCATGCATCCATTTCTCCTTGCAGGTTCATCAATATTATATATATATATATATACACACACATACATATACATACATATATATATATATATGTGCAAAGTGTCTCCTCGAGAGTTCGACCAGGAGAACAGGAGTTCAATTGCTCACTATGACCTGCGCTGACCATCAGGGGGCGGCATGGAACATGGTGGGCGACCAGTGAGGACGACAGGGCCAGGATGCTGAGGGAGCAAGGGAAGGAGGAGGCAGGGAGGTAGGGAGGTGGGGAGGCAGGGAGGCAGGGAACCTGATTGGCCCTGACCGCCAGCCAGGCCTGAGGATCCATATATATTTTAGGATGGAGTTTTCTATTTCTGAAAAGATACCACTGGGATTTTGAAAGGGGTTTTATTGAATATGTATATAACTTTGAATATACCCACATTTCTTTAGAGATAATATACAAATGGTCAACAAGCATATGGAAAGATGCACAATCTAATCTAATAAAAGAGAAACATGCAAATTGACCGCACCTCTGCTATGCCCAAGCCACACCCACCATCCAATCAGAGCGACTATATGCAAATTAACCCAACCAAGATGGCGGCCGTCAGCCACCAAGCTGGAGCAAGCAGGAGGCTTGGTTGCCCCGGCGACGGAGGAAGCCAAGCTTCCCGCCTGCCCTGGCTGGCTGTGGCCTCCACTCAAGGCAACAAAGTTTCAATTATAGAAGATAAATAAATCCCAGATACCTGCTTCCAGCTAGCCTCCACTGGGAGCTTGGGTGGCTAGAGGCCGTGGCCAGCCTGCAAACAGCCATCAGCCCCTCACCCAGGCTGACCACACCTTCATGGGGTGAGGGTCACCGCTGGGGGGCTTGGCTAGCCTGCAAACAGCCATCAGCCCCTCACCCAGG